CTCGCGTTATTAGAAGAAAAAAGAAAAAAGAAAAAGAAACGTAGGTATTCTTCTCTCTCTCTCTCTCTCTCTCTCTCTCTCTCTCCGTTTGAAGGAACCGCGTGAAAAATTGATCTCGTCGAGTTTGGAGTTTTACAGGCGCGAGCCGAGATTCTGTGGAAAACGGTTCGAGATGAAAAATCGGAGGCGGGACAATGTCGTAAACAGGACGCGTCGAAATCCATTTTCCAAGGTGAATAGATCGTCAGATTATCAATGAGAATCCTGTCGTAAATTACCGCCACGCTTTGGGCCGGATATTATTCTTCTTCGAACAAGAGAGAAAAGAAAAGAGCGTATAAAAGAAAATCCCGAACTCGTGAAACAAAATGGAAACAGGATTTCTTTCTCACGACGTGTATTTCCGGTGGCCCACGATGACGTAAGTTTGTGGTTTGCAACAATTTGCACGCGAGCGCGCAAAAGGCGACAAGAACGAAGCCATGCATATCTCCGCCAACGCTTTAAATAGAAAGGGCGGATAATCGCATTGTTACTCGATCTATTCGATCGTGAACACGATCGAAGGGAAGGAGAAAGGAAGAATGAAAAGAGAAAAAAAAAATCTTCCCTCACGCGCGTCTCCTCTTTTCGCAGCTGTCATGGCGGTTGGCGGGCATGATTCAGACGTCGAGGTATCTGGAAGCGGTGAAAATTCTGAACGGTACCTCGGCCACGGCGCAAACGACGTTCACGGGGCTCGAGGAATGCGTGAAGCGGCAATTGGCGACTTCCGGCGCGCGAACCGGTTCCCGAGAGGTCGCGGAACAGGTGGTCAGCCAGCTGGAGAGGACGCTCTACGACTTTCCTTGCCTACGAGGTTGCGCCGAGGTGAAGAATTACGCGTGTGCCTGTTCCAGTTTGGCCTGGGCCTGTTTGGCGCGTGTCACGCCTCTGGTGCTCGACGTGGCGCAAGCGTTCGAGTTCAGGCGAGACGTTCATCTAAGGCATCACGCGTCCCCAAACCCGAACGGAACGAGAATCAAGACGGTTCTGTGGCCCGGTTTGAGGGAAGGCTGCCAAGGGGCCTGCCTTCGCAAGGCGGTTGTCCTTACGTCGTAAATAAATACTCTCCCTTTTCCTCTCGAATCAGGCGGAGGTGGAAGAGGAAGTGCACGACTACGCCATTGGCTGCTCCAATTTCCACGCGTGCCTCGTCGCAGTCTTGAATTTCCCAAGGGGAGCTGGAATTACATTTATACTCCGTCTTATGTAACAGAAACGCGTCGCACTCTTTACCCTCGAAATAGGGTTTTAGCGTTGGCGGCGTGATGAGATTCTTTGATGCGGAGCAACAACAGTTTTCCAAACAACAGTTTTCAATTTCGTGTATATCTATATACACGTTTGCAAAATATCTTAAATTTTTGTGAAACGCGGATCGTAACGAACGAACCGTTGTAAATTTTACGAAAAAAAAAAAAATATTTCCTCGAAATCTAGCGAGAAGAAGTTAATGATTACGTGTCTAGGAAGATAGAGACCACGCGAGAAAAAGAAGTGAGTAAAGTTTGAGAATCGGAACTTCATATCGCGTAGCCGAACGAATCATTTCGCGAATTAAAAAGTTTTCACGAAAAAACTTTTCTCGCGGCAGATGCTTTCCGCTTGAAAGAAATCGTGATTGCCTCTCCGAGTCGAGATATAGTTTATGTTGGGCGAGTAGCAGGATGCTTCAGAAGTATCGATGCGTCGAGATGGTTGCGGAGAGACGGCGAAACTGTTCGCCCTCTACAATTTACAATTCTCCAGACGCGATATTATTGCCGTTGATGTAATATTACTGGCGAAGAAAAATTGTCTCTCTTTCGATCCTTATTCGGACGGAAGTTGATTCTTTCCAAGTTCAACCTCCTTTTAAATTCGACTTCGAATAAATCATAATCATCTCGATACCTTAAATACCGATTTAACCTTACCGTACGATAATCTAAGATTTGCTTAAATGTATACTTACGCGAGGCTTGAACGTGTATAATGTCTCCTCGATAACGTAGTTAATGGTTTGCTTTCTTAATCACCATATTATCTTTGTTTGAATTTAATCCGACTTAATCGCTCGTCCAATTATATATATAATTTACATTACCGAAAATGTATTTACTCTCACAATATTTATTCTCAAGAGAGAGACACGTTAAATACAACATCGATGATGATTATATATGATAAATTATCGAGACGCGATAATTATTCGAAATTATTTCGAGCAAATATTCACGAGGGATATAAACTATAAATACGAACTAATTCGGTTAAAGCAACGTGTATGCGCTTATCTTTTAACCACATATTGTATACATGTTTTTTTATCAATTTATATATACCGTTCATTCAAAGGTATATAAGCGTGGTCGTAAATTATTGTACGAGCCGGTGACAAGATTAAACGTTACGATGAATTTTTTTCCTTTTTGTTTTCTTTTTTTTCAATGTCGTTGGGACATTTTTAGTTTTTTCGCTAGAATGATTTTACGACCTCGCCATTCTGGCCGTCATTATTAACTGTCCCGATTGCAGTTGGTGGTACACAGAGAGGAAGTTAAAGCACCGTAACGACTAGTCTCTCGGATTTCCAAGGTTTATTATAAATCTCATTTTCTATATACATTATTCATACATTTTTCTAATTTTTTTTTTTTTTTTTTTTTTCGCTTAATGTAACATAATGTAGAAAAGTGCATAGACCTACTACGTGTTTGGCCCTGATTTAATTTGAACAGATGCGCTTGGAATACGAGTAATCTCTACGTGGAAGATGATTGTTATTCGATCGAAAATATCGTGGAGAATATATAATTTAAAAATACGGATGGTGGTGCATGTATATATAATGTATGCCTGCAAATGCGTGTAACGCATTGAGAAAGGTGAACTCTAACTTAAATGATTTTTGTTGATCATGAAAGAACGCCTTTGGTCGAACAAGACTCGACAGAAATTCGTAACTCTTATAATTGCAACATTGTTGATTATTTACAATCTAATTTAATCGATAAACTTTGATTTCAAACGTGTCCCGCATTATTTCATCTATATAACAATTGGCGATCGAATTTCAGTTCAAGTATCGAGCAGTTTTTGCGACGAGCAACGAGTTTTACAATCATGCGCCATTTCCCTTTGAAAAATCGATTCAAATCATTCCAAATTTTCAAGATATTTATTACAAGATTTTACAAAAATTTATAAATCATCTTTTCAAGATAATTTTGATTTTTTTCGTCGCTGAACGATCGCAAATGTTATTAAAAATACCAGCCTACTTTGTAACAACAATTTATCTTACAATTTATCTTATCTAAGCGTGAAAGAAGAAAAAAAAAAAATTGGTGAATCTTTCATTAATTGCTTGAAAATCTCGTGATAAAAAATTAAGATAAAAAGATAAGCTCTAAAATCGCTTCGACAAACGATTTGTATGGTAAATCAGATTCTTTATCCTCGAATTCGTCTCGGGGTGTCTCAGTCGTCTCGCTTGTCGAAACGTAATTATTTTCCATATAGAAATGTAATCTAACATGTTAATTGATTTACGTTTAAACAGTCAGAAAATATATAGTTTTTATAATGTCAGAAAATAAAATGAATCGTCGCAAAATATTTATTGCAATATTCAACTTTAACTTAAAGCAAACGAAACGAAGTAAAGAAAGTGTTAATTAATTTTTCTAATGACTCGTAAAATTGAGAATCGATAATAAGATATACCAAAAGTAATACACGCAAAAAATATATATTTGAAAAATATCATTTGTCTATCGTATATGATGATTCGTCTCATTATTTATCCCATCATTTGTCTTATATAATATTATAAATTTCCTATTCGATGAAATAATATCCAAATGACGAGAAGAAATTCTATTATCATATATTTCCTATAATTACATTTTGTTTTGTTTGTATAAAATATACTTGACCGCTAATGACAAATATAAGACATACTTAATAATATACATATAATATATATGTCAAAGTTTAAAAGATTATTAAGAATATGATGTCTTTTCATGAGCCTCTGTCGTGTAAAATTGCACGATCTATTGTACGTATATTGTACGAAGTATAGTAATGCTTCGAAAAAAAAATAATATTATAAATACGAGTATCTTTTCGAAAGATAAACTATGAGCACGTCGTTTAAAATGACAAAGAAAGAAAGAAAAAAAAAAAGAGAGAAAGAAAAAAGAAAAGAAAATAAACGGAGACAGACAAACACGGATACAAGTGAAAAACACATTCACTTTTACGTTATCAAAAAAATATATAATTCAGTAATTTAATTTTGTTTTGTATATAACGAATTTATATACCTAAGTTTGTTTGTTTGTTTGTTTGTTTCTCCAGGCGTATAACATGGCACGAATCGCTTTCCTCGTGTGCAAAAATATATAAAACTCTTTTTCATCGATTGAAATGCGATTCGATGATAATTTACATGATAACACACCATTTTTTGCTACCTTCATTCGCCGATTTACTACTTTCGTCCAATTCCAATTTGTCGGTTTGAAACTTCATCTCGGATACTGGGGTAGATACTTGTATAGGCTTGCGTAACCCTTTCAACAAACCGATCGAACTATTCAATAAACTGTTTTCGGATTCTGTTTTCTGTTTCTTAATGGAACTCCAATTATCGATTTCGTGTTTTCGTTTTCTCTCTGTTGGGCTACCATTTGTGGTAGAGAGCACGTCGGACAAATCGGTACTGTAACGAACAATCTTATAATCGGCTACATCGTCTGGCGGCAAAGATGCGCTCGATGTATTAACAAATAACGAGTCGTTCGGTGAATACCTTTGCTCGCGTAAAGTAACGTGTCGCATTGCGTTTAAAGAACGTCGGCCGGTAATACTTCTTAAAGTTTTCCCGAAGGACATTTCTTTTTGTGGCTGGCTCGACGTACTGTGACTAGTGTTGCTCGTATCGAATAACTTCGAGTTTTCTTTCAAACAATCGTTCAACTTGATCTGTACATCCTTCAGCATTATTGAAGAATCGTACGAAACAAACGAAACATCTTTGCTGATGCTCTCTTCGCGCTTTTCCTTTTCTTTCTCCTTTTCCTTCTGAATATCATTTTGCGACGCAGTTTCAGACGTTTCAGACATTTCAGACGTTGTGATCTCTAAAATATCTACCGAATTGCTTTCCGTGTCAGTTTGAGATTCACTGTGTAAATCTTCTTTTTGTTGTATGTCGCTCTTTGTTGTTCCTGCTTCGGAAGGGCATTTTTCACTGCTTTCATTTTTCAAATCTATATCATCCGTCTTTTCCTCATATATCGTATGTACGGGATTATCTTCCGTTTCTAAACGCAAATTTAAATCACTTTCTTCGTGCTGTTCTATTTCTTTATCTTTATCGAAATTACTTGCTTTCTCTTGGCTCTCTGTTTGCTCTTCTTCGATCACTACTTCTTTATCTATCGAATCTTCTTGCACTTTGGATATTGAAACAGATTCGGAAGAAGTATAATCAACATGCATGTCATCAGATTCTTGTGTATCTTTAGAAATATCTTTTTTCACATATTCCATTTGTACGGTTGGATTCATTTTTACATCTGCTTCTTCTGATTCTGGCTGCATATTTGTTAAAATTGATTCTTCACTTTTCTCTGCTACGGTAAATATTTTTTCCTTAGAATTTCCAGATGCTGTATCCTCGAGATCTATTATTTTCTTCGTAGAATAGCTCAACTTTGACTGCATACAAACTTTATTCTATAAAAAATATATTATGTTTTATATCTTATCATATTTAAGCTATATATCTATCTAAAGAACTTTATCAAACTCACTTTAAAATTTTTTCTTGGACTATGTGGGACTCTCTTTTGCAAAGTGCTCAATTTAGATCTGAAATAAAAGTATTGTAATGTTCAAAATCATTAGAAAAAGATTACATAAATATTTAATTAATATTTAATATAATTTTTATAGAGTAAGAAATTCTGGAGGTGATGAGAGGTATTGACTTAAAAAAAACTTCACAAAGTAGCTAAACCAAAATTTTTTTCTCAATATTTATTCAACAAGCTATAGATTTGATCTTTTCTTATTTATCAATTCATTTAAAATTATTTGTACTTTATGCATCATTTAACATACATACATACATACATACATACTACATACACACGTACACACACGCACACACATACACATACACATATACATATCTTGACTTTTTCGTAAAAATTTTATTATTGAAAAGATTAACAACGAGTGTTTATTTTTAAATAATTAAATTAAATTAAAACATTTAAAATGTAGATGAAAAAATGTGAAAGACCTCGATCTGTATAAGGTTTGTAAATATCAATGGTTATCTTCTGCCGAAATTGAGTGACACTTGCCCCGCTTATCCGCGGATTTTTAAAAGGAAGAAAAAATAATGAAAAAAAATATCCAGTAACAGCGTGTTTGACGATATATGTAAAAAGACGAGCGAAAGATTTGCTGCATCGTTTACGCAAAACCACGAACGACGGAATGAAAAGGAGAAACTAACAAGCGACAGACTAAACAGAGAAACTGTGTATAAATTTGCTATTCGTTGGACTGATTGGTTTTACAAACCTGTTCGGAATCTTGGATTCGCGCTGTCTCTTGTGCAAGCTAGTTTCAGAAGGATTTGGCGGCGCGGTCGTTGCCTTGAGTCTCCGATTGTACAAATTCCTCTCATCGCCCCCAGGGGTCGCCTTCTTTGGCGTCTTACCCATAACGTTAGCGTACGTTTACGTCCTGCCTATTAACTCGTTTAATCTTTCCACGCCCTTTTTCTTAGCTGTACTCGCCCCCACGTAAATTCAACAAGCCCCCTCTGTTTGGTTGCGGAAGATCGAGTAATCTATTTGTACCTTGCTTTTGCTTTTACCTACAAATATATGCGATTCCTTTCTATCTATTTTGGTCTCTTGGTTTCCTTGGCCACTTATAACATTACATGCCCTATCGTAGAATACTGTACGTTGAAAATATGTCCAATAACGTGATTGTAATCGTAACTGTTAAGATTTAGCGTATATGATATACATAGAATGCCATTAATGCGCCCTTGAATTTTATCGCACGCGGCAAAATCACATCAAAATGAACACTTGGCAATCCATACAAATTTATTATCACTTTAAGAATCACTATTTCTCGAACTTTATAATTGGATGAAGATTTTTACGTAACCGATTCGATGGAGATACACACTCATAGAAAAATGTCAACGCTATGCGCTGGTACGTGCCACTCACAACTCACAACCGGTACTCTATTTCTTTCGTACTAGCGGTAAATTCCGTTGAAAAATAACATGATCGAACACGAATGCAACGAGGCGCTACTATCGCCCCGTGTTGATCATATAAAATATCTATTTCAGAAAAAAATTCATTGATTTTTGATAATCTTTCGTGCATAATGAATAAACAAATTTCTATCATATAAACATATGTATTTCCATTTATAATTATGAAAAATTAACTTTAATGATTTTTTAACAAAATATTCATCAAAATATTCATAAGATATTAAAAAATATATTAAACTAAATAAAATTAAATGATATTATGAATTAAATTTTAATTACATACATGTTATTATTTTTAGTATGTTATAATTTTTATGCATTTTTAATTTTTTATCACTATTATTGAATGGCAACAATGATTTTTACCATTACAAGTCCCTATATAATTTGAAGAAATATTTCGATTGTTATAGTTAACTAACATGTTTCAATGACTAATTTCAAGATGTCAAAGACTATGTGATGATGATTCCGGTAGTAGATTTCGAAGATTACGCGTTATAGTGTCAAAGATTACAACCTAAAATTTAATATTGAAAATTTTTTCATTCTGCTTGTATAAAATATATAAAATGAATGTCATATCGTGTTGGATATTAGTAATAAGTGCATTGAAATTAGTAACAGCAGAATGGAATACAAAAGATTATATGAAACGAGAACATTCTTTAATCCGACCATATCAAGGTTTGTGAATTTTGAATAATTTTAAGAAAATCATGTTCTATAATATAATGTATAGTATAATATTTGAATGTATATGTATTTGTAATTTTATTCATTACAATATTCAATATAAATAATAATAAGCTTTAGGTTACATTACGTTACAAAAGAAAAAACTAAGAAAAATATAAAAGATAGAACGTAACAAAAAAATAAGATTAAATTTTAATTATATTAATATTATAAATATTAAACATTTTGTATAATTAGGATCTGGAATGTCAATACCTTATTGGGATTTTGCGGGTAGTACAATAGTAACGAATAACTATGTGAGATTAACACCAGATTTACAAAGTAAACAAGGTGCCATATGGAATGCTGTTGTAAGTTTTAAACATTATAATTTAAAACAATCATTAATAATTTAATTTAAAATAAAATCATAACGAATTATATTTATATATTTTTTGTATATATTTTTAAATGCATATTAGATTTTATTTGTCTAAAATCAAGATAACATTTGTTTATTTAGCCATGTCATGCGAGAAATTGGGAACTTCAAGTTCATTTTAAAGTTCATGGAAAAGGAAAAGATTTGTTTGGTGATGGTTTTACAATTTGGTATGCAAGAGAAAGAATGAAATCTGGTCCTGTCTTTGGAAATCAAGATTATTTTCAAGGATTAGCTATAATTTTAGATACATATAGCAATCATAATGGTCCACATAATGTATGTAGATAAAATAATTATAGTTATAGTATTATTATACAATAAAAATATCATAGAAATCACTTTGGACTTTGTAGCATCAACATCCTTATATCTCTGCTATGGTCAATAATGGTTCTTTACATTATGATCATGATCGTGATGGAACACATACACAAATTGCAGGTTGTGAAGCAAACTTTAGAAATCTTGAACATGATACACATATTAGTGTGAGATATGAAAGAGATACATTGACTGGTAAGTATATATAAATATAAAATATTTTTTGGCATGACAAAAATGTTGTCATATAATTGTATACATTAACCTCATATATCATATACATATACCACATAAAAATGTATTTTGACTGTATTGTGCCAATAAATAAGCCTTATAATTCTTCTCTTTTCAACAATAACATTTTTAATGGTAATAATGACTACAATCATAACTTCTGTGGCTTAATGTTAATCATCTTCAAATAATTATAAACATTTATTATATTCATAGTAGTATTTTTGAAGTAGAAAGTTTATAGCTGTGCTTCCTATATGTATATTCTGTCAGTTTATGTGGTGTTCTACAAATTAACATTACAGTAAGGTCTTACCCCGAAGCCTCCTGGCTTACATCATGGACTGCGTCCACTTCAGCAAGTGATATTTTCTTCATCTTTTCATATATTGTTTATCATCTTTTTATTTTATTTTTTTCACATATCATTAAAAAAATTATTAGAATTAAATCATTAAAATCTTTATAATCTATATTTAAAAAGTAATAAATTTGCATGAAATTTTAAAAACTGTGTATAAAAGTATCTGCTTAATATATGTATTATGTATTGTATTATATTATATTAAATGCTAAATTTGTATATAATTTTTATTGTTTTTATTATTTGCAATAAGCATGAAATAAATCAACTTATATATAGAATAAATACAAAATATCATATAAGTGTTTCTGAAAAATAAATTTATTAATATTTATTTTTACTATAGTTTCTACAGACTTTGCAAATAAAGCTGCATGGAAGGAATGTTTTTCTGTAAAAGATATAAAGCTGCCTACAGGATATTATTTTGGAATTTCGGCAACAACAGGAGACTTATCTGATAATCATGATATTCTATCTGTTCGTTTGTTTGAATTAGACCTACCAGATGATGTAAGTATTTTATTTAAAATATATATTAAAATTCTTAAAATTCTTAATTATTAAATCATTATTTAATAAGAAAATAAAACATTTCGATTTTTTATTTATTTCGATTTAGCCGAAAGATCAAGAAGATAGGTCGAATATTTTACCATCAGCTGCATATTTTGATGCGCCTCGAGGTAACAAACAAAATTTGCGAAATATACTTAATAAAATATTCTTATATTCATTATAAATTTTATTTACAGAACATGTAGATGATCCAAAACAATCTGCATTAAGTAGAATAATGTTTTTCCTTTTAATGCTCGTGGCTGCGCTTGCATTAATTGCCTGTGTGGTAATAGGTATTATGTGGTATCAGAAACATCAAGAAAACAGTAGGAAACGTTTTTATTAAATCAAGGTGCGTTACAAACTATTCTACTTTTAAAATTCTCGTTTTTATCGGTTCTTTCTATAAAAAAAAAAAAAAAAAATAAGATATAATCATAACGTGTTCATAAGACTGTTTCAATAGAATAACAAATACAACATCCATTATCTCCGAGAATGTCATTTTGAGAGATATTTTATGGAAATATATCAGCAAAGAATAAAACGATCATAATAATGTATAAATTATTGCAGCAATCGTAAGACGTGTCGAATTATATCTGCTATTCTAGTTCTAATGTTTGCATAAACAGAGTTCCTTTACCAAAGTTTTCACGTTCTTAATTTGCTGCAATGAATCTTATAGAAATAAGTTGATTTATTCGCGTAAGAGTTAAACCGATATTATGCCTCAAGTGAACTCTACTTTAAAAATATGTTTGCAATTATAATAAATTTATTCTAAAAGACGAAAGTAGAAGAATAAGTTCTTCAAACAAATTTGCAGTTTATCGTTGCCGCGAAATACTACATAAATGATTACAATATTACATACAAATAGAGAAACGAACTCTTTACAAATAATCATGAATTATTTTATAAAAGCGTTCTTTCTCGCTTTGACTTATCTTTACCTCTATTATAGATTTGATATGATTGAAATGACTTTATTAATGTAGATTTTATATTTGTATATAATGAAACTGAACATTATGAATGTAGAATAGTTGTAGAGTGATTTTATGCTATACAACTCGTTTTATACAAAAGATAAAGGGAACCAAACTCTCAAAATAAACAATTGTTAAGAAACGTAATATTATTATTTGTGAAAATAATGTACGTCACTTGTTGCCAAATACAAAATAAATATGTATTAAACCTTGTAAAAATATTTATCTCAAAAAAAAAAAAAAATGACAAAAATGAAAATAAAAATAAATGTTTCTTATCAAAATATACATTCTACAAGTAAATAAAGCTATTCGAGCAAAGTATTTAATATAACAGTATTTTTGCTCTCCTTAAAATATATTTTATTACAAATAATAATTATTTGAACAGAAAACATCAAGGCACATCTATTTGTCTTTTGTTTCTGCTATAATTATTTACTATTGTCCTGATATGATATATAGAATAACTGTCTTTTTTTTTCTTCTTCTAGACAGTTTAATCATTATATTTTTAAAGTCTAGATACTTAACATCAATTTAACAACAATTTTTAACTCCTACACATTATACATGTATATCTTTACTACTTTTTTAAATACATATAATATTCATATAACATTTACATAAAGTAAAGATATTTTAACAACTAAATTAATTTCAAAGCATCATTAAGTTTCATATGTATATGAATTAATTAAGATATTAAGTTTTAAGAAATTAAATCGTAATAATGAAGGTACATGCATCACAATTGTTGTACATACATGATTCTTAAATGTTAATAGAATTCGATAGATGCGGATGATGTTTCTCGTTAAAAATTTAGGATTACAAAAAGAGTTATAATATTTTACTATTGATTAAAATAAAATCGAAAAAGTTTCTCCTTTTCGATTTTTCGAAAACGGAATAGAAAAATATTAAGCGCATTTATTTCTATTACTGGCAGTAATATTTATGAAAATATATTGATCTTAAAATATACGTGTATAAAATGTTCTCTTTGACATAGATACTTGATGAGTTTTTAATAAAATTCTAATGCCTGAGATGTTGGTAACATCAAAATATATGTTTTTCTTTCATAGATAATAAATAAATATGTATAATTAAAAAATATACTCTTAAAATTTTAATAACATTTAAACAATAGTTTCAAATTTAATCATAAAAGATAACCAAAATATTCTTTTATATTATAAACTAAACTTATATTCATTTGAAAAAAAATACTGAGGTTTAATATACAATATACTCTACAACACTATAACTCTTTCTTTTTGTATTTTTAGTTTTGTCTTTTTTGCTGTGTTTCTTTTTTTTTTTTTTTTATTAACATCATTCGATCATTATCTCTTAGTAGTTTTTTGAAAGGGAAATTCAGAATACTTTTTGCATTCAAAAGACTTTTGATATTGTACATTTCATAATCGCATATAATACGATTATTTGAACATTACGATAGGATTCAACAAAAAATTCAAAACCGTTTTTATACCTAAATAGAAATCACTTAAAATCGAACTAATCGTTACATGATATTTGTAACGTTTGTAAGATTTTAAATCAATAGAATGACATGCAAGACAGCCAATTTCTTCTAACGCAATATGAGGCTCAGATCCACCGAGTAACGATTCATCTTCTAATCCATTATTTAAGAGTGTACCGGAAAACCAAATTTTATCGCCCGGATATATATTTAAACTAAAATTAGTAAAAGAATGATCCGCAACTAATAAAATTTCCGCATTGTTTCCCCACATGCCACTCTTCATTTTTACTGAAATCTCAAATTCATATTGATTCCAAGAAGGAAAGTAACATTTGTTTCTTCGTTTTTGAATGCTTGCAAAATGCCTACAATTTTCTTGCCTTAATTTGTCATTCGAATTGCAACTATTTAGATATGGTTCACCATACATACAGCTAATTATATTTCTAATACTATCAGGCAGTTTATTAAATATTGCAGCTATATTATTTTTTATCGATTTTAACTTAATATTTGTTACATAACCTTCCATGAATTAATATTCCTTCTAAATCAGCACATTGAATTTGCACTTGTGCCTTGGACGATAACTCTTCCCATGCAGGCTGATGACAATGATTTTGATATTGTTCCCATGAAAGTGATGAAACACTTTCATATGAATCTGGTTCTTGCTTAAATTCCATTATCATAGGCCATGATAAAAATATGCCAGCACTGATGCCCATGACTAACTATGAAATTATTATAGCAATTAAAAGTTGTATTTATTGTAATTCTTCAATTAATATATTTACCTGAATAACAGTAATTATCCAATTAAGTTTGGGAGTTCGAGTTTTTCTTAAATACCAAGAGGCAAGAAATGGCATTCCTCCCAATAAAGAAGTTACACCTATTCTCATTGCTAAGTCACTTTCTGATAAATATTTAGCAGCAGCTATGATTGGCAAAATGATAGAGGCTAATCCAGCAAGTGGTAAAAAGAGAACCATACCAACTAATGCAAGAGCACCTCTAATTAGGCCATACCATGTTGCACCTTGAGAACTAAATATCGCTATTTGCCACCAACTTAAAGTAACACAATGAGGTATCAAAGTTTGATAGGTTCCTCGCCAATTATCGCGAGCTGCCATTTTTGCGAATACTGCTGGAATCAGGAGATAAAAAACTGCTCGAAAATTCAAACAAAATTCGATACCATTACCAACAACATATGAAGCAAATGTTGGAACTCTTATATCCAAAAATCTCCAGCCTTGAGCAACTACAATATCTGTTTCATATGGATACTTTGCTAAAACATGAACACCGAAACTGAAGAGAGCTAAAAAGTCTGGAAATTTGGACGAATCTTTCCACATAAAATTTAACAACGTTATTAACGTTAATGCAACCGCTATAATAGTAAATTCTGACTGAGGTGTCCATTGATGAGCAATAATAGGATAGGTCATTAAATTTACAAGTAAAGCAAGAAAAAAATGACCATAAGGTTTAAGATTATTACAGCAAAATTGATATTCTGCTTCATCGGGATTTAGATTTCCACCGGAATAATTGAGAAATAAGCCAGACCAAACGCGAAAATTATTAAATTCACGTTTTCGTTGTAACATTTGAAAAGTAGCAATAACCATAATAATAAAAGATAAATAATATAGAGCCATTGGTATAAAAAGTATGAGGCTTTCTGTACCAAATAATGAATATAATAAAAGAAGTAACAATATATGGGTATTTGATGTAAAAAGAATCTTCTTAATTGACATTCCTCTTTGACCTAATGTTTCTATCAACCAAATATACAAACGTTTCAAGGAAGCAAGTGGATGAATAAGAGGCCTTTGTAACAATGGTATAGTATCTAATGCCATTTGAGAACGATCTATCATACATATAGCATGTGAAACTATTGGGAGCATACCACGAGCATAGCTAGCAGCAGCAGAAACAAGAGCTGCTTCTGTAATTTTCTCCCCTTGATGATCCATCCAATCTAAAAAATAATTCTATAAATAAATATCTTGGCATTTATTATATTTATAAGAACTGCATATTATCCTTACCATGGTTATTACTTTCTTTATCTTCATCCTTTTTAGGTGAACAGTCTTCAGGAAGCCCATTTTTAGGAAAATTATCAGTTGAAATATCATTTATATCTTTCTGTGAATTATTGTGTAACACATTATTTGAATAAGAATAATTATAATTAGATGAATTTGATGCTATGTCTTTCATACGTCTTTGTAGTTGCTCTGTTGTAATAAAATCTTCACCATTTGATAGACTACCAATAAACAATATTATAATTAACAAATCATACAAATATAAAAAAAAATTATTATGTTATAATAAAATACCTAGTGAACATTTCTCTTGCTGCTTTTCTGGCTAATTTTTCATCTTGAGTCATATCAAGACAACTTTTAACATCATAATAATTGTGTTGTGTGATACCACGACCAGTGGCTAAACATTTTCTAAGTATATCTGTTGCTTCTAAATTTCCTTGTTCTGAAGCTTTTGTAAGCCAATATACTCCCAATTTTGCATTTTCTTCTTTATCCACATCTAAATCTAAATACATAATTTCACAATAATTTATACTGCATCATACTAGTTTTTAATAATTTTTAACTTTTAATAAAATGCATTAAATATATTAAAATTCATATATTAATTCAAATATAAATAAAAATTTGCATTATTACCACATCTTTCTTCCAATAATTGTTTTGCTAAAACTACTTGAGATTCTGGACAACCATCTTCAGCCAACTGAGACCGTAATCTTCTAAGAGATCCTCTTGGCCCATCTAAAATTATGCAATTGAATCATTATTTTCTAAATTGATAAAAAAAAAAAATTTTATTTCTGATAAAAAGAAATTAATTGCATTTTACCCATTTTTTCTTACTTATAATTCAACTTTTATGTTATTCTACAATCATAAAATTCTAAAATCATATCATTAATAATTTTTTTTTTTTTTTTTTCAATTTTTTATCTGTCAAATTTTATTTTAAAGAATAAAATATTTAGATATTTGACATTTTTCTAAAAATTTACTTATATTTAACATCTATTATTTAATATTTATCTTCATTATAAAAATATAGTATTATTTAACTAGATATATGATTAAATTGCATACGAAATGAAAATTGTAATTTCTATGGAAAAATAAAAAATGAAATTGTTGCGTTACCATGCAATGTCCATTGTTTTCTACCAGATCTACCAGACAATGGTACAATACCAGCCATAGCTCCAAAAATTGGAAAAATTGCTACTATGGTACTTTTACTTTTATTATTAGTTTATCGTATTATTAAATTATTCACTATCAAAAACTTATATTATATTATAATATTGAAAATTTCTTAATAAAACGACTGTTAAAATATTAGCATAAAAACATGATTCCATACATCACGCATGCGCAATTACTAAAAAAGGTTAGGTTGTACAAACGTCAAGATACATATTAAAATTAAAATTAATAAATACAAATAAATTCAAATATATTTTTAATTTAATAAGATACTTAATAATTTTTTGTTTATTTTATTTTTAACACATTAAAAAAGATATCATTATACTAGTCTATTATTAATTCTGATTTATATTTCTTTATATTGCATTTGTTTGCAAAATTTTGTAAATTTTATATTAAATTTAATAAAAAATATATATATTATTATTTAATATAATATAATTTATATTAAATTTAATAAAGAATTCTTATGTTGCTTTTTTCATTTTATTGAAAATTTTGAAATTAAGATAATTTTGATATTGGATTTGAAAAATAGGATAAAGGAATTTGATTGCACGGATTTTAAGTAAAAAATATTTAGTTTAGAAAGATATGTTTTATTAATTAATGTTATATGGCACCATTGTACTTATATACAATATATAAAATGTATATTGTAAAATTAATTAAAAGTTTTAATTTAAATATTAAATATATGTATATTATATATATTTTTCTAAATGATTTTCTTAAATAGATTATATAAAAAGAATTTTTTTATACAATATACTAATTTTCTATATTAATTATGATATCTCTTAAGTTAAACATACGCTTTTGCTATCGTGTAGTAATATAAAATATTTTTTTTTATTAACTTCAAATAAAATTTACGATAGATATTATGATATTAAATTACGAAGCAACAGATAATATGGAGCCAGTTTTAATGATTTTGCGATTTTCCTTGTAATTACGATAGAAAATCATTACTAATTCAGCAAAACCACGTTTTTTCTGGCTCCTCGTGTAGTCAGAAATCTGCTCGAATGCCGACTCTGAGAAATTAATAAGAATTACATATATGGAACATATATGGAAAATAACTTTGATAAGCATGAAAATTATCGATTGATACTTACAAATTGCTTGGTCCTGTGTAAGGTGGTGGATTTGGTCGAATATATGGATTGCAACGTTCATTAGAAATTCTGTTAACATATAATTAAAATATAGAACTTGAATCATCAATAACAATAAAAGATTTACGATTGATATATTTCTTATCTAAATTAAAAAATATGTACCTGGGACTTGGTAGCAAAGAATCATTAGGACTGGAAGGTTGAGCGGAGAGCGATTTTAAGATACCTCTTTCGACAGCATATTGGACCATTTGTATATTATTGCTAACTCCTTCCCCTGTTGAAGTTTCTCTTTTTTTTCTGCAAAATGAATGATCAAGATATTAGTCAACTGAATAACTTATAATATAATTTTTTGAGATCAAATAAACATTTAAGAATCACTTAAAATTATTAGCAAGAATACATTTTATTAAAGATATCAAATATGATCAAGATATACCTGATTTTTTGTTTTTTACCATAGAAAATATTAAATTTAATAATTCATAGAAATATTTTTTAGATTCGGAATTTTTTTCTCGATGCACGCTTGATAAATCAAAATGATACAAAGGGATGATTATACAATGTTAAAAAAAAGGAGACGAGGAACTAGAAAGATGTCATCGATCAGCGAAAATTTATATCGAAATTGACCAAATGGATTTAGTTTAGGTAAACTTTGTATTATCATTATATTCTTCTTTATGAATCACATCAATGATGACGCGCATACGTACTATTCCTGTTTTCGCATAACCCGTATTATCTGTAGCTTAATTACCTTGATCATATATGTAGATCACGAGCTGTGACCCTCTTGTATATCAATATATACGTAATTTAGTTTCACTGTCGATCATTGTTGCAATTATATATAATTTACGTATCGCTGCAAATATACGACATTCAAATCAGATTATTTTGCGCAGATATGCGATTTTACACAAGAGATCTTAGGATAAGCTTCACCTTCTATATACATATTTCTAATATAGTAGCCGAGAATACGATTAAATGCAGTCGAAGCAGATACGTAATATAAAGATAAAATCCTATTGAGGTAAGTCTAATCGTTTAACCACGGTTTAAATGAAAATTACATTAGATTCCGTTTTTTAAGAAAACAAATACATTTATAGACTATATTATCATCGATTACAAAGGGAACGCAATTGCTTTTTCAAAGGAACGATGCAGATGATTATAAATGGGAGTCGTTCAACTGTTATAAAGTATCGAGCGATTGTTAATCATGAACATTTATAACGAAAACCGATCGCTAACAATACTTTTCGTTTTTGTCGTTGTATGTGTTTACACAATCATTAGAAGCGCGAACATAATACAAGATGCAAGGTAAACACGAAGTAGACGCAAGCTTAAATCCAGAGGAAAAGTCATAGGTAAAGCAATAAGAAGCACGAATAATCGGTGACGCGATCGTCAAGGTCATTCGTTTATAAATAGATCCGATTTACATTTTATGGCGTTAGATTTCGTCTACTCTTCAAACAGAAACGTTGTCAACGCACTGCTGAGTTGCGCAAGATGAACTTAATTATTACGATCATTTCTTGACGATTTTCTAATCGATGGGAACTGGTTTAACAATTCCGTTACGTCACGAGTAAGCTTGATATCGCATAACAAGCGATTCTTGTTTATTCTCGCCTACACGATATTTATTATAACAGGATAAAACGGAAAAAGCTGTGACTTCTTATCTTTTTACAGAGAATGGAAGAGAAATCTTTTTAAACGCGAGTTTCAATCGATTTTAAATATTTAGGTTGTCCATTTTTATTGATAGCGCATAAGCACATTAATCGTACGCATTCTTCTTAGCTCAAATGATTCCGTGTCTTGAACAAGTAGTTAGTCATGACCAAGAAGCTTGGTGGATTAGTGATGCGCTACATACTTCAATGATAAGTGAACTGTGTATATTAATCGACGTACATCGCACACAGGTCGCGATGTAACCCGGTTTCTATTTATATCCGTTGCTATTACACGTGCATTTCTAAGAGAAAAATCGTTTATTTATTTATATTTAGAAATATCTCATTATTTATTGTGCTATACATATTTTCGCGATTTTCATCCGTCAAAAATGTTTCTTCACTTTCCTCTCTTCGTTTTATCTTTCGTTTCTCAAAAAAAAAATCTTTTCTTCGTTAAATTTCAAATCAAACGATTGACCAATTAAATTTATATCATTGTATCAAGTATGGGAGAGCACTTAATACACAGCGGCGCTCGTGCTTATCGAGCACGCGTAATTCGCCGTAACCGTATTTTCGATCGCAACGTCCAGCACGTTACTACTTGACCAGATATCGTAGCTGTTTATGAATGAAACCAGTTGTAGTAACAGCCCCCTCTATCTGCTCTTAACGCCCCTACCACTTATCCTCGTCGTTCCTCATACTGCTATATGCGTTGGAATTTATTTCTCGAGCACGTGCTTCGTATAGAATGACAAATATTTCTAAGCTGACATTCTTCGATGACCGTTATTCGCATGTACCGCACATGTTTCGCTTCGATACCGATTTTTATCCCCGAAATAAAGGAATCAAACAATCGAATATTGAGAAAGAAATTCATATTGAACAAACATATACACTTACACTTTTTCGTGATCCAGGCACAACAGAGTACTGAGCAAAGCGGCCAATGCGAAGAACAGGATAACAGACACAAAGATCGTGGTGACAATTTCTTCGAAGTAACTTCTCGTGGGGATATTGGCTCTGCTCGATCTGGCCCATCGCCACTCCGCGTGCTCGGAAATTCCTGAAGCCGGTAAATCCAATACGCTCGGTCCCCGTCTCGCGCTTTCTTGCTGCAGACTCTGTTGCTCCTGCTCGACCTAAAACGCATAATATATCTCGCGAATTTCTGATGCGCCATACGAGCTGTTTCAATCTGTAAACGAAACTTACCAATCTGAACGAACACCAATCCAACGCAAATCTCGCTTCTCTGAAGAGTCTCTCGACACTGGTACGTTTAAAATCTCGAGGACAGGAGCGTAATTTCCACAAAGGTTTTACTTCTTCTTGCAGCTCGTTCAACTCTTGGGAGAATGGCATCGAACTTCCCAGCCTTATAACAACTCTGCCAAAAGGAAAATGCAAGTTTTCATACTCGTAGACTTTTAAAATTTTCGCGGGCAAATTACACCTGTGCACGGCACGCGTGTACGTGTTGCATGGCACGTCTGGCCTAACCTTTAAAGTTGCGTCATGATTTTCCTGTTTGTGCGTTTGCTTCCCGTTATCCGTTATCTCGGTCGAAAGTCAGGGATAATCGTACCCGTCTGCTAAGAATATAATTTCCATTCGTCTCGACTCGGTCGATGACATCTAGACCATGACGAAGTGCTTTTTAAAATTAATTTTTCTTTTTACGAAACATCTCTTTCGCGTTGGAAATTTTTATGATGATTGAACGAAAAAAAAAAAAAAAATTATCGTTAAAATCGCTCGTTTAATTAATTAATTATGAAGTTAATTAATTACGCGTCATGAAGTTTTTTTTTATATAACGTGTAATTAAAAAATTCAATTTTAATCATCGATTTTAATTATGCCCGATTAATAGACTCCTATCGTGTTTTGAAGAAACGGCGCTACATGTGTTTTTCTTTGCTTCGAAACGCTTTTCTATGTTATATATATATATATATATCGGAAATATGATGCATTCTGATACGATGAATTAATACGATTCCAATGAATTGGAAAATGTATGATCATTGCATATTACAGCTTAATAAAATTAAAAGCTTCCGTTTATGCTATATTCTTAATCTATATTGTATTTTACAAGATAATCGTCTATTATAATTTTACGAGATACGATAAACGATGCAGAAAATATACAAATTTTATCGCATCCGTTTACATATTTCTTGGATATAAAGGATATCAATGAGAAAGTTTCATTTAGATATATTATCGCGTAATGCGGTGGGAGATATACCACTGTTGACGTCTAAAAGTATGATGGTGGAGAGTAAACAGGCTTGCCGGAAGCCATTCAGTTAGTTAAGTTGGACAAGCGCGCTGACAATGTCGCATTTACATATATACGTTACCAAGTTACTTAAATCGTGTCTGCAACTGATATAGTATCAAGCTCAATAAGTGCGACTAATATATCACATTTGTTTTATCACATATATTGATTTTAATTATGTGTGTCAGTGTTTCATTTATGAAAAGGATACATTTTATATTCTTCAATGAACGCGTCATTTTGAAAGATCAACGAATAGAATTATTAGAGAAATTTTATTTAAAAAATTCGATTCATTTTTCTCGATCTTTGAATACGATTCAAATGTAAGGTGTGTACGATGCGAAATTTTGAAGCACCTGGTATTTCATAAAGAGAGTGCCATGAGAATTTAACAATGTATTTGCATTGTTACAAAAGAAGAAAATCTTATGAACCATCGATTAATATATGATCAGTGATTTCTTTTTCGTGCCGATTTAAAGCAGTGATTCTTAATCGGTGTTTCTTGTCTCGCAAAATTATAAAAACGGCGCATTAAGTTTTATAATTCTTAATAAAAGGTATATTCATGTGTATTTTAGTTGTTAGTTTTATGACCGTCCCGTGAAAAATTTACCGTGAAAAGGTTAAAATCACTGATCCAAAAAGATATTTATATTCTTTTAATATTTGGAAAAAACAGAAATAACACAGTGACAAACGCAATATGTTAGAGCAAACGGTCGAATCAGTCGAATCACTTCAATTGGAAATAAATTTCATGATAAAATGAAAAAAGATGTTGTCATTTATTCGTTGCAATACGTGGAATTCGAAGTTAATGCAAAAAATGAAAAGAATAAAAAAAATGTGATAATAATGTATAAGATTTATATGAATCACTGATGATTATCTATAGCGATGAAATAGTTTTACAAAATCTATGTTTTCCATGTATACATTTATGACGAAAAATCTTGGAAAGGAATCACTCCTAACAAACAAAATTTGTTGCGATTTAAAGCCGGATTACGTAATAACAGCTATTGAAAATGCGAATATTCGATGGGACGGTCTTTGTAATGTTTCCATAGATGACTATCTTTAATGACGCGTGCACTTTTCATAGCGACCAACTGTAGAAATTTTTCATGGGTCGAGTATATATTGTCACCGCGATAACAATCTATGTCTATAACCATATTCGACGACGTAATTGCAAAAGAAATGGCAATTACCCATTTGAAAAAAAATTCGAAGTGGGACGTGCGTCATAATGTTGTTTTCCGTTGATCGGTCGAATAATACGTCAGCGATATCGAAACGCTGAATCCCATTGAATCGTTCGATAATTATCATAATGGCTGACGATAATGGAATTGCGTAACTATATATCACGTCTAAATCTTATTTCTCTCCCTAATCTCATCACATTTGATTTTCAAATCAGACTTACCCTTCGCCTTCACTTGGCTTCAGAGGCAAACGAGCGCCAAGCTCGACTGCAGATGCTAAAAAAGTCACGTATAAATCCACCGCATCTTTCCATAACCTCTTTCTGTAAGTAAAGAGAAAAAAAAAAAGGAAAAGCTTGATCCAACACAATATAGGACATTGGAAATCTTTTTCCTTGAAGTTTATCGACAAACCTAAATATATCGACAAGCTCATCAGTTCTGTTCCGATTGAACATGTCCTCCACGTTTAGATTATCGATTTTTAAATGAACCTCATACTTGGTCAGGTTTTCTTTCTCAAGGACGTTCATGTCGAGAACTTTGTATCTAGTTTCGTAGGTATATTTATTTAGACCTACAATTTCCAGCTAAAAATCACATTTTTTTCGTTAAAATTTTCGTTATAATTACTAATTAATTCTAATGTTAGACAAGACAGATCACCTGAAAATATTTTTGATTCTTGGGCGCAACACCGTATAGAAAACCATGATGATCTCTTTTGCTGTACGTATAGTGAATCCATGATGGAAGATCAGGTGCATTTAATAACGAGGGTTGATATGAGAATTGATCAGAACGTGCTGAAAGAAATAAACGAGTCATTCGAGTGACTCGTTAGTCATTGGGAAATATCTATAGGTTAAAGTACTTATTCGTATATACTTTGAATAATTCAATTCCGAGTAATCATATTCATCATCGCTCGCAGAAAGATTGCACCCGTTTCCGAGAAAGATCCACGGAAAACAGTTCGATTCGTAAGCGTTACCGATTAATTAATGATGCGTCGCGTCCCATAGCGCCACGCCACTCGTGATTCTTGTATGACGTCGCGCTAGAAAGTACCGATATACACGTGACAGTGTCAGCTGTGAAACCGCGATATGATATTCGCTATATTTCTTCAAAGCGTGAATCGATTGGTATTCATAAGGCAATGCGAATGACGCGCGAAGGTACGCTTTAACTTTCAACCCGTGAATCAAGATAACGGATGACGACCGAAAATTGTCTATCGTTTGATAGACTCTCATTTCTAGGTTATTTCTGTACGGCCGTTCGTTTCACAACTTCCGCGTGTAACCGCGTATATCGTTTCTGTGATATCAATGCGATATAAACGCGATGTAAATCTTTCTCGATGTCATTGTTTGTGATCGAATAATATCTTTCCTTCTTACCATCATCGCTCCAGTCGAAAGTCTCTGGTTTGATTGGAATGATGAATACCTCGGTCATTAAGATGCTCTCTGCGTTCGCGAAGGCCACTATCGCCAATAATAACATTACTACGTTTGACGGCATATTCATTGCTGTATCTGAAAAATAATGATAAATGATACCCGTTTATTGTCACCCGATTAATATTTGATTAAATATTCGATTCTACAATTATTGCGAGACTATATTTTTTCGATTTCTCGACCCTAATCTTTTCTGTGATCACGCGCAATCGTGGTCGACATTGATATCATCGATTTCCTCTTGCGACTTTTTTTCTTTTTTTCTTCGTTTCTCTCTATTATAGTTAGGGAATATTCAAAAGTTATAGTGGAATGTGAAGATTTCGATTTGTTGAAAATATCATGCTTGTTCGTTATCGACAATTGGTCGATTCGAGGGACGAATGCTCGCGATGAAAATAGACGCGATAATTTCGTGGTCTGGCAGACGACAAACGAATCGCAGGAACCTCATAAGAGACAGGCACACTACAGCACGGATCAGCTTACAGGAACGTAAACTAGCCACTCGCGGAGGTGATACTTTACCGGATCGAACGACACGTACTGTCAACGGGCAGGTTAAAATGATGCAAGTGCAACATCAAGTCAAAAACTTCGCTACAGTCCGTGCACAATTCATTTTCTCTAACTTTCAATTTTTAATGATAATTACTTTAATTATTATATGATTAGCGATAATTAATTAAACATTCTCTCATCTTTTTCCTTTTTGTTCTTGACACTATTCCTGAGTACGTATGATTAAACGCACGTCGTTGAATTAAAGCAATTCAATTTATGATTTATCGTTGATCATTTGTTACTAATCCATTTTTACAGTGCATTTGAATACAAATCAACTTTAATAAGAAGAAAACAAATTTTAAATAAAAATAAGATGTAAACGTAAACGAAGCATAAGAGCGCGTGCGTTTAGCCCTTCTCATGCGCAGCTGGAACATCGTTTCCGACAATCGTTTTCAGGAGCGTACGAATTATATACCTACCAATCCACATTCATTTTTATAAACGCTTTCATATTTTTTTCTATTTTTCTATTCATATTTTTATTAAAAATTAAAATGAATGAAACTTCTTATCATCTTATATAGTTTCAAATTGTACAATAGTGAAAAAATTTATTAAGCAAAATATACTTTTCAAATTGTACCTGTATCATTAAAGTATTATAGATCTCCGACACAAATTTACAGCATCGTGTCCCGCGCACGCGTATCCTTATCTGAACTAAACTTCCGTTTCGGTGATTATCGCAACGCTTTTAGTAATTCTCGATAATTTAGTAGTATACGTCTCAGAGAATAAACAACTGGCCGAGAACGTAACCAAACAATTACAAACTTATCAATCAAGCAAAATTCTGTTCAATCGATTCATAAAGATGATCAGTTTTGATCAATTACTGTTTATGACTTCGTGAAAGCTTTGAATCGCGATAGTTAAGACTAACATTTGATTACAATTAAATGTTACAGATTTTATTCAAAAATTTAATGGTATAAAACAATATTCACGATTTTCTTAATAAATCGAAAATCTGTGAAAAAATTGCTATGTGAAAACGATGTTTAATATATTGTGAAAAAATATCGAAATAAATCGATTAGTTCGCATATAATTTATATTCGCAAGATCGAGAATTATAACGAAATTTAACCAGTTTTTTCAATGGTTTTAAAGAGAAGCGCATAAGTGAGGTGTATATGTCGTAGCAGAGAATGGAGTAGCGTACGTAACGCCGAACGTGAATCACGGAAATGCATGTTGTATCATCAATAGGGCCCGAAGTCTTCACACAGCACGTTTCCGACGTGCACGGCACTGCCTATTGACGTCTGCAGTAGGCGTGGTTTTGCTGTGGCCGATAGAGGGATATATTTACCTCACATACAACTTTTCCCTCTGGTGCGCGAACGAGCCTCGCGTTATTCGATTAATAATGTGTATTTCCAGTGCGAGGTTTGATGCGACCGGTACACGGCGCGAAACCGTGGCCACTCCTCGGCACAGGGGTTGATTCCTCCGGACACGCGGACCTTTCCCGGCCGGGGGTAACTTTTCTTCAAATCTAATTATTCGATTTGAGTGCTCGTGTTAACGGAAAATCGAGTCGTCCGAGTTGGTGCTCGGTCTTGCGACGACACTCTCGACGCAGTGCAGTGTACTTGATTTGTGTCAATCCTTCTGACAGTCTTTTGCATTGATTTTAATATATTTTTTCTACATTGTCGTTGATGTCCTCGTGATCATCGTAAATTCGATATTTATCTTTTCTCTTCAATTATAAGACTGTGCGCTTCTTTCAAAACTTTCCCTTGACACATTGAAGAATGGCGGGTAACAGCGTTCCGGTCTTATTGGTTACTGCAAATGTTGGCAGTATTTTCGAGGAGGTGAGTGTACAGGATTTTTTTATTTTTCCTTTCTTTTTTTTTCTTTTCACCGCTTCACTAGCTCTGAACGATCGATTGATCGCGCCCCGCAATTTACCTTCGAACGTGATACGACTTATTTCTTTCATCTTCTTTCATCATCTTTTCTTTTCTCTTTTTTTTTCTTTCAGTTTGGAGTCAGCAGCTTTGCGCGCGTCTTTTGTATTGTACTATACCGATAATATGCTACTGATTCTTATTTGTTCTTTACAATCATTCTTCATTCATTATTTTTCTCTTTTGTTTTTCTCATTACGCTGACCGTAAAACGTCATGATCTTGCATATATTAATTGTATTAGTAATGTTAACACGCATAGAATCAACGACAGAATCATTATCAACGATCTTCCGTAATTACATCTTTCTTGTTATTCTCATGATTTTAGATCGAATTAAATTATGCCTTCCATTCGATTGATTGGTACATGAATTAATATACATGCATAACATATACACATTTAATAATATTAACATTGCGTGATTTTGCATTCGCGTGATCAAGATTTAGATTTGATTTTCCACATATAGATCAATAAATTTAATGAAATAGCGATATTTTATGAATATATATATTTTTAAATTTCGTATAATTTTTTTTTTTAATTTAAATTTTTAATCAAAACAGATAATACATATAACACATATAAAATGCGTGTCCTTTTTACAGCCTAGCGTGATGTTAAAAATTTGGACGGAAGAATTTTTATCTGTAAGTATTATAGATAACATGCGTTGTCATTGCGTAAATATAACGAATATTTACATTCACAAAGAATGCTTTTCAGACTATACTGAGGTTGGATCCAAAATTTATTGCACTGCACTGCCAAGAAGTAGGTGGAAAAAATTATGAGCACAGCACCAGACAAGTGGAAGATTTTGTTAGGTAACTTTTTATATTTTCTTTTTTATTAAAAAAAATCTTTTTTATCTACTGCACACTTACTAATGATTATATCGTATTAAGGGTAAAAAAAATACTCCAGTTAAAATCTTGTTAAGGTAAGCTTCTTGAAAGGCTTCTTTCTGACTAAAGAGCTTTTTAATCAAAGTCACAGTTGCATAACAAAATACATGACAATATTTATTCAAATATCATTGTTTCTTAAGTACATGAAATATTTATGGAACAGCATACAGTATGAGGCATCAACAAGCCTTTTTAAAATTATACTAAGACAAATAGGTTTCTCTGATCATGATATTGAATGTGATTTAACGCATAAGTGGCAGAAAGGGATAAAAATAGATTATCACGCATGGTTCTATGGTTGAATGAACCACTTCAAAAGATGAATTTATCGAATGATATTCATAGGGGAGTAATGTAAAAAAAAATATGTTTAAAAATATAGTAAATCTTCAAGTTACTGTGTTAGCTTTAACATTTGTATTTTTCTTGTAGAGTTTAATTTCATTTAAGAGATTCTTTGTTGCAGATTATTAATGTCTTCCGAAGAATTAAGGCTGTTTGATAAAATTAGAGTATTCTTAGATGAAGATTATTCATCTGCTGAACATTTTACGGTAAGCAAAAAGCAATTAATTAAAATGATAAAAGATATATATTTCATTATGTATAAAATTACTAATTTTTTTTTTGTAATTATTCATAATACTTATATTTTTCAGGCACTTGGAAATTTTTACTTTGTGCATGAATCTTTGAAAAACGTTTTATTATGGGATTTCCAAGGTATGACATAATGTTTGATTAATATGACTAAATAAATTAAATAAAATAGTTCAAATTATTATTACAATTTTAGAATGTACTTTTATATCCGTAAATGGAAAGGAAGTTCATTCTGGTAACATAGAAGCAGTCACAACCAAAGAAAAAGCTAAGTTTCCTCAGGAATTCTTTCCAGAATGTAAATGGTCTAGAAAAGGATTTCTAAGGACACGATGGAGTATTAGTGGAACAGTTTTTGATCTCATAAATATACATTTATTTCATGATGCCAGTAATTTTATTGCTATGGAAACAGTAAGTAATTAAAATTTATATTATAAGATGTTTTAACAATTGATTTATTTATTTTGATAATTTATTTTCAGTTTCCATCCGTATATAGTAAAACGCGTAGAAGAGCACTCGAGCATACATTAGATAGGTTTCATAATGATAAATATTCAAATGTACCATACTTTTTATTTGGAGACTTTAATTTTAGGACAGATACAGCCGGTGTAATTAAAGTAAGTATGAAATAAAAAATGAAAATAATTATATTCTCATTTAATCAATAAAATTAAAATAATTTATACTTTTTCTTTTATACAGAAACTTACAGAAGATACTCAAGAGAGAAGGTTATCAAACAAAGGAAGCATTTCAAAGCTACAATTTCATAATAAAGACGATGATCTCATATTAACATTAGGAAAAAAAGAATTTTCTCATTATGAGCATCAGAATGTTTTTGTGAAAAATAGTGGACAATGGGTAAGTAATTCGTAACTCGAATTTCTCATTGTATAATGTTACTTATAATACTGCATTGACGATTAGGAAGACCATAATGAAATTACCAATATTTATATAGCTACGTGAATATGATAGAGAGCTGGAAGACTTTGATGGAAGATTATTTGAATTTCCGATTAAATTTATACCCAGTTATCCATTTGAGGAAGATATCAATGAAGGTTCAAATTATATGCAAACAAGAGTACCGGCTTGGTGTGACCGTGTTCTATTGAATCCTACCGCTAAAATGCTAGTCCAAGATGTACGAGATACCGTTAATTTAATTATATCTTTTTTAAATAAATATATTTTTATACGAATAATTTTTTATATAATTATTTTTTTTCAGATATCATCACCTGATGCTGTGGAATATGGAATAATAGGTCCAACAACTTGTATGGGCGATCATAAGGTGAGTCAATCTTTTAATATAAAAGGAAAGACATTAGTTCATTTTATTCTTATTATGCTGGGTTAATATATTTACACACTTCCTAGTTATTATTCTGATGATTCATTCTTTTAATTATTATGGTGCAGCCTGTTTTTCTGGAGTTTCGAATGAATCTCTAAGCACTAAGGTACCTATCTATCAACTGTCTGCTTACTTTCATCTTGGTTTTTCATATAGTATCCTCTATTTCTTCTGGTATTTCATTCCTCTATTTATACAACTAGAGGCTTGTTAATGTAGTTGGTTCAGTATCTTTTTTTAAATTCACTTTTTTAATAATTTACAATTTCATAATTCTACTTGGCTTTTTTTATACTCGTTGCTGTTGAAAACACAAAAAAGTTAAGTATATTTTATTAAAGGTAT